CCTGTCCCACTTAATAATGACTTGTTTGATGCTGAATTTCTACTGTTATACTCTATGTATCCATGATTTTAATTGCTTTAATTATGACTTCTTTTCACCACTTTATTTATTTATATATATATAATATTTTTTTCTTTAGTCGTATTTATAAATTATTTCTTCAATATTTTTATTAAAACAAAAAAAAATATGAATAAACATCATTAACTTTATTTAAAAATTTAACATGTTTATAATTTTATTCCTATCAAATACAAATACTTTAAAATAAAATATTCTAGTATTTAATAACATTCTCATAAAAATAAAAATAATAATAATTGAGGTGTTTTATAAATAGAATTAAGATAAATATCTTATCTTTATCTTATAAATAAAATTAAAAAATATGTATGACATTTAAGTCCTAATGTAACAATAGCTTTTAAGGCATATTGCCCTAAAATCAGTGAACTGATAAGATAAAGTACAACTTGGGATCCGATAGGTCTTTTTTCTTCTTTTCTTTTTGCAACATTATTCATATATGGGAAAAATCATGGCTGTCAAAACTTTTAAATTATGAACGTAACTTTTCAAAAAATTTGATCATGTGTTTCCCTGATAGTTGTCTGTTTCTAGATTGTAAAATTAGTTTATGTGAATTACTAAAATTATTTTTTATTATTTTAAAAATTTATATGAATTGAGTCATAAGAACAACTCGCCAAAATAATGGCATGTCTATGGCAAAAAAAAAAAATAGTAGAGGCTTATTTCTGTCAAATTCAAAGAACAATTACAAAACATTTATAAATATCTACTAATAAAATATTCACATTAATAATGAGATTTGAACTTATAATTTTATATGTTATGGATTAAATTATTATCGATTGTATCAATCTATAACATTATAATATTTTTAAATAAACAACTATTGTGCTTATTTGATATAGCAGCACTATTGGATCAAATATTGTTGGACTCATTTAAGATATTACTCTATCAATATAATCACCAATATGATTAAATATTTAAATTGGACCGGATAAATAGATTCAACTAATAAATCAACAAACTAAGTTCTAAATCCAATATTTTGATAGCCTTATAAATGGGGTTAATCAGCTTTTAAAAGAGTGTTGAAAACAATAAATATTGGGAGAATATCAATGAAGGATACTTAAAAGAATTTAATATTTGATAATAATCATGGATACAGGATAAATGTTAAAACAATAACTTTTTGTTAATATTTACTTGTTAAATTTTTTTTATGAAATTAAATTGCTTTTGAGGTTCTTCGTAGATATTCTCCCAAGTTCATCATGTATGCCTATTACTATTTGTTGAATAAATGTTTCCTACATAAAAAAATAATATATACAGTTAGTAATCAAATCAATAAACTGCAAACTAGTATTCTTACCAATTTATTCATTAATAATCACTAATTCAAATTTAAAAAATGCTTCTTCACGAAACCATGTGGAGTTCCTAAAAGACAACAATTAGATTTTGTAACCTTGATTGGTAGGAAGGATTAATTAGTATCTTCAACAAACTGAAAGATAAGTCTAAAAATCAGACGAATGAATATATGTATATATATAGATAATATTTCACGGTCAATTGAGTATTTTTAAAATTCTAGATGAACACTATGATATTGATGTCCCCATTAAGTTTTTCCATTTTTGTCAAAAACCCTAATAATGATCATATAATTTGTTGATTTGTGCTAGAGTTTTTTTTTTTTTCCAAGTATGGTCACTATTGTAATTAAGATCAACATTAATATTCATGCCCCACAATTGCAATTCCAAACTAACTTCTATAATACACCGATTGTGACTTGCAAAATATTCATTCTCAAAAAGTAAAAGTACTTTTTCTAATTATAAAATTAAAAAATCATTCATTTCTTTTTCATAATTTCAACTCAATTGTAATTTAATCTTTAAATTTTAACTCAATACAACTTAATTTTCTATTGTTTAACTTATTGAACTTATACATATCACATTCCCAAAGAATTCAGGCTCATGAACTTGCACCCCCCATTTCTATTTCCTTAATGTGAGACTGGTGTTATTATTCACGATATATGAATAATGTGACTTTTTATAAAAACTATTATATATAATAATGACATTGATCCATCCAACTTTTTCCAAATTATTTTGTTTCGATCAATCTACAATTCACACATTAAAAAGTTATGAGATAATTCTTGAGACAAAGTGTATGTTAAAATTGTATTTCATCATTCCCAAATTATAAGATAATGTGAAATAAAATTATACAAACCAATAAAACTTAATAATAACACTTGATAAATTTATTTTTTTAAAATAAAATATAAACTAAAAAATACCCTAATATAAATTTAGATTTAAAATTGTTATTTCTTCTTTATTCTTGTCAATTTATCTTTATATTTTGGAATAAAAACATTCTTTTAACGTTATTTAATAATTTAAGACAAAAGGAGTAATATGATGAAACTTGCCTTGGAGATAATTAAAAAGCAAGTGAAATTTGCAGATGCAAACTTTAATTATTGATAAAATAATGTTACATGGGACATTATTGGCTTTCACATTTCTTCATCAAAAATTGTTGCTCAGATCCCCTTAGGCTTGATGTAGATGTTTTCATGAAAGAAGCCAAAAAAAAATTTCACTTTCAAGGTGGGGAAAAAAATAAAATTAAAAGAAAAGCTTTATTGGATATCTACAAAGGCAAGATAAAAGAGAGAGAAATGTAGGGGGGAAAAAGGGTAAAACGACAGGGCAAGCTAGAATCCACTATAAAGGAAATGGACAAAAAAATTGATTTTGAATCATTTTTTGAGCTTTTTAGTTTAGAATAATATGATATTTTTGTCTCCTCTGTGTCGTGAAAATGATTGTGAAATTTATAAAAAAATGGCTTCAATTTATTCAAATAGTGTAACAAAATTTTGACAAAAATAGTATTTGGATTTCAATAAAAAAAAATTGACTCCTTAAAAATTAGATTCACATTAGTTTATTAACCCAAAAAGTTCATGGATTCGACAAGTTTAATATTTTGTAATGATATATAGATAATCAAAATTATTTTTCAAAAATCAATAGCACGTAACTTATATTTTAGAGGTGAAACTAAAAATATTATACTCACTCTCAAGAAAACTCATCAGTAATTAAGATCTTCTACAATGGCAAAAGAAGGGGAAATTTTACATAACATTTTTTTCTTACCCTAGTAAGAAATTGCACTTCTACAATATATAGATTAAGTAAAATGTTAAAAATTTGAATTGAATATACAAAAGAACAATCTAACTTTTAGTACAATTTTACCATTCAAAATTTAAAAACTTGACAATATATGTCATCAAGTCGTACATGTGAGAGAAAATGTGAACCTTACAATACAGAAGTAACGGACATTACCTTGTAATTAATGAGAGGGGACACAATATGTTTCAAAATGTTGAGGGCAAAATTGCACTTAAAAAGTTTTGAGTCTCATATATTTCTAGATCTATAATTTTACAACAAAATTGGCCTTTTATCCATATATAAATAACAACGCCAAGCGCATATGATGATATGAATAAACATAAAGCAATAAAGCAAATCTAATCGAAAAAAAAAAAAGCAATAAAGCAACTAAGGCAAGAAAGAAGGAAGCAATGTAACGTTATAAATCAGGAAAGCCAACATGTTTCGGTAAAGGCAAAGTGAAAGGTTTAAAAAAAAAAAAGGAGGAAAAGGGTGGGCCTTTAAAATCTTCACCAAAAAAAAAAAAAGCAACCTAGTGAAGAGAATATCCTTTATATTCCCCAAGTCCTGAAGAAACCACATGCAAAGCCTACTTATTAAAAGCTGAATATAACCCAACATATTATTATAATATGTTAAAAGTTATTTTTATTCTTAAATTATATATTAAATATCATAAATATCTCTAAATTCAATTATAAATTAATTCTATTCTTCAATTTTAAATACCCCTTCCATTATCAATCTAACATTAAAAATACTTAAACTCTGTTAGTTATTGATAAACCTCACTATTTTTCAAATATTTTTTAGTAAATTGAAAATCATTTTTATCCTTTAATTTCTATTTGAAGGGTTATTTTTTACCCCCAACTTAAATATTTTATATTAAAAAATATAATGTAAAATTTATTAACGATAAGAAAATAACAAGATGAGAAATTTTAAAATTAAAAAATAAAATTAACCATATTAAATTTTGAAACATTTGTTAATTTTTATACACAATTCAGAAACAAAAATCACCTTTAACCTTAATATCAAACATCACACACTTTTCTGTGCACGGTTCACAAACTACAGGCTACAGCAACACTAATTTATATTTTTGTATATAGACAGACCCAGAGACACGCGCGAACAAACGTTATATTTTGGCTATCCAAAATCCTAAAATTAAACTAAAACTAGGAAGAGTAAATAAGATTAACCTCTGGTTAGTACGCTTTTGCATCAATCATTGGATTTCCACGTAGGCATGTCGTGCTTTCAGCATGAAGCACAACAGAACCAGCTTTTAGCAGATCTTGATTTCTTTTCTTAATCTAATGGGATTTCGAAAGTCATTTTTTAAGAAAAGGTTTTATGTGACGCCAACTAGTTCATTGAAGGATAAATTATAGGAATCTTTATTTTTTTCCCCCTCGGAAATCATATAATTCTTAATTTCATGTAAAAGAGAGAACCCAGGTTCTATAAACTGTTCAACTTCACCCTATGACCCAAAAGAAGAAACTTATATTACGGAGGCCCAAGGAAAGTAAGGCAACAAAACTCTATGCAACATTTGGCTTTCACTTGAAAACACAAATACACTGTGTGTGTGTGTGTGTGTGTTTTTTTTTTTTTTTTTTTTCCCCCTTTTGCTTTACTATCGGATTAGGTAGGTCAGACCCAAGCATCGGTGGACTCAATTAAGAGTAGTTCTCACAATCGGGTTAACATATACTATGATAACATATACACATATAAAATGATTTCATTACATTTACATATATCAAATATCTTCATAACAGAATACAGAGAATACGACTCTACAAAAGTTGCAGAGCTAAAATTTGTTACTCCCAATCATAGAAGCAACCTTGCCAAAGAGGTATGATAGTCATCAAGATCATAGCATATCCGCTAATAATCAATATTATGCATATTCACTAATCAAAAGCATACAAAATCTTAATAATGACATCATCCATAGTAAAAAGGATGTTATTTTTAAGCCTCTGAACTAAACTAATCCTAAATAGCCATCCGAAACTAAACAGTTCCTTACTCAAAATGACAAGTATTTCAATACAATATATACCAAAAACCTTTGGGAAGAGTTAGTTTGCATGATGCCAAGCCATACAAATCATGAATGTCAGACTAGTTACTGTTAGATACAGGGCAGAGGAAAAGCAATCAAATCAATATACACATTTCCCAGTGTTAGTTCTAGTTCAGTCATCCTAAGCAACTAGCCCTAATTGAAAACTACTAACTAGAAAATTCACTAAGGGGCAAAAATAATGCATTCACTTTGAGATGTCCAGTGCGCCACAAAACTGAGAAAACACAGAAAGGACCAGATTTTGGGAAATTACTGGCACTAATGTGTGTGTGTATAGGTATAAGATAGTTATAATTATACAACAAGGTTCATTCTCAGCAAATTTTACCTCAGTATCCTTTCCTTCCACCAACAGGTGAATTCACCCTCATGATAATATTTAGGGACAGTTCACTAGCTACTCTGCATAAATTGGAAGACATCACACATATATTTTATCAATGAGAAACTATCTAGTGATGCTATAAAACAAATACAAGAATCTTGCACCACCAGACTGAACATGAAAATAGATATCAACATAGTATCATAAACTGGCATCATTTGGTACAGTACATGAAAATTTACTCAAATAACTTTAAAATAGATTTTTTAGTAATTGGAGAATAAAAATTCTGATGCATAAAACTGAGTTTTCACATTGGTAAAAAAAAAAAATTCTAGTGGATTTCAATAGCGCCTGTGATGAGAATCTCTTAAATATGCAGGAAACACCATGATAATATACAATTACTGCCGGTCCTTATAATTAAAATATTCAGAAGGGTTTTACTGCAATGCACGGTTGCAGCAAAAAAATAAAGCAAACAGAAATTGGCGTTGAAGAAAAACACACCATCAAAGCTTCTACTCTTTTGTAATTAAAATATTCTAAAAGAGGTGTAAAAATAAAAAGACAAACTCCAAGAGATGAAGATGAACTACAAAGCAAAGTGATGATAAATAACATTCCCCTCTTCAAAACAAAACCAGAGAATAATCCCAAACAAAAACTATACAAGTTGTTTGGTATATGGAATAGAATGCAATTGATGGAAATATGAAACCAAAAAGTGATATTGTTAAATAAAAAAATTCTCATGCCTTAAGTTGAAAAAATAACAAAAAGAAGATAGCTAATAACAACAAAAATACAACAGATGTTATGTATCTCATTTTATGTGCAAGAAAAATTGAATCTCCCTCCCATAGGCGAAACAAAGGAGCTCTTGGACTGCAATAATCTAAGGCCCCTTGAAAGCAATCAACTTAATTCTTTAACACTGCGTCACCTATGTTCCCAACAGATTTATTAATACAACACTCTTAGCCAACCAACTTGGATCCAAGGATCCAATATTTGGAAAAGCTTCACATGAGAACCAATTAGGGCAAGTCTGGTTTCATGTTGGAAACCACTAGAACCGTGTTTTTCATGACTTTGGCAGTTCTCAACATGAAACCAAACACACTCTTAATATTGGTGTTAGCTGCCATGAATCTCAATTTTCATTTTTCATGGTTTAGGCAGTTCTCAAGAAACCAAACATGCTCTTAATAGTGGTGTTAGCTGCACCATGCATCTCAATTTTCAAAAAGGGACATGTCATATTACTATCATGATGTCATGTCATTCAGCCAAAAAAAAAAAAAAACTTCCAAAAAGATTAAGACTGCATCATACTACTATCTCTTTCCCAACAAATCATTTCTCCTCCATCAAACAAGATAAATTCTCATCATTTGTACAGCATCTGAAAACAAGATGCTCTTTTAATCACTGATAATTCTGCCAGCGAAATTTCTTATCCAGTAATTGTCATCACTCATCAGGATTATTCATAGGATTGGCAAGATACTGCTGAACTCCTCAGGACCCTCACCATCAAATTTGGCAACTACTAGTGGTGTGCAAGCATGGTTTTGATTTTGAAGTTATATGAACAGCATGAGATAAAAATTATTACAGAATCAACTTGAGATAATGCTATTACCGTTTAATGTTTTATATGAAATTGCTTGTGCTCCAAGATTTGTGAGATCTAAGTTTTGTCTTGTCTTGGTTTTTTCCTCCCTTTTGGTTTCAAGAAACAAAACATAGAAAGCTGTTTCCAGAATCTTTTGCAAACTTCTTTTTCTTGCCATGCATAGGAAGAACAAGACTCCAAGCCCCAATAACATACACGAGAGCGATATACCTTTAATATTCCAATTACTGAATGCAAAATGAGAACTTGTGTCCATTGAAAAATGACAAGAAAAATGAGTTCTAATCAAAGAGAAAATGCTTACAGCACGCTTGGGCAGTGGTGGGTTACTTTCTGCAGACCATTTAACCAAACGTGACTATTTTTAGCCAAGAGAGCTGTGTGTGAAAATCCTATTGAAAACCTCAAAGCAACACTAATATTCCATCGTCCAACATTCTTCCCAAATAATCAGGTACCAGTAAGAATTGTTTCAACATATAACATAGATACCAAGGGGCAAGACCTAGGTAGAATAAAATATGTACCACAAAACACTTAATAAATAGAAGACCACTGTAAAGAAAGATTAAACCATGTGGATAGCAGAGAAACATAATCGAATCTTGCAATTATAATGAAGTACCTCAAGTTTCATATGTCAACTGAGAGACCCCTCCAAACTTTAACAACTGATAACAACTATTTGAGAAAAAAGTGAACTACAGTATGTATCCTTTTTATCCTGCTACCTTTATTGCCCCCAACTCATCAATTTTTGAGCTCTTATGCTGCAATAAAATTAATTTGCAGAAGAAAGGTTCATTAAATAATGGATAAGGTGAGGTACAAGAAAACAGAGCAGAAATATAAAAGGAATACAGAGAAAAAAATAAATAATGACAACCATTCAACACAAAGTTACCCCCCTTTTATTACCTTGCTTTTTTTGTGTTTGCTTGCATCGTTAAGATCTTCATCTCCATCATGCTTCCTTTTCTGTAAGCACATAGAGTAGAAAGATTTATGCATAGAACTAATTTCAGCAACATTTTCAAATGAGTGAAGCAAAGCCTATTGTATAATACGGGTATACAGTAGAATAGATCTCCTTAATTTGAGCCTAAATCACAATTTGAGGGTTCACACCGCCATCAGCAGAATCTTTGGATTTAGATAAAACCCAAGAAAAAAATTATAAGATATCTGATAAATCCAATTTAAAATAATTAAGATATAATGGTATGATAATTCAAGAGTCAAGACTTGGAATAATGTTTATCCTCATTGTAAACAATGTACAACAAGCAGAACAAATCCTTGACCTTTTCATGGTGTTTCTTCGCATGATCGGCACTGGATTCATGATACACACTTTTTTCCTTTTTTCTCTCCTTGTCCTTGTCTTTGCTGCGGTCTTTATGGCGATGTTTGTGCTTCTTATGCTCCTTATCCTTATCCTTGTCCCTGTCTTTGTGCTTTCTATGCTTCTTCTCCTTATCTTTAGACTCACCTTTTGATTTTCCTGCAATAGTTGGAGTTCCCTTCTCGGCCTATTAATAGATTGGAGTGAAGTAGGAGGAAGGAGTAAGCACATATGTAGTCTTCAGCGAAAACTAAAATATAAAACATTAACTAGACTATGTTGTTTCTGAAATCTACAATCACATGATGGCCAGTGTCAGGAAGTATAGAAAACCACATCAAGCAATAGCAGAACTACTATCATTAAAGCAGAAAAATTCTTACAGGAGGCAAATCAATGGGAGCTGTTTCCCTCAGTTGAAAAGCCTCCTTCAAAATATCTAGGTCGAAAGGCTGTATGCGAGAACTTGTATCTACAGAGTAAGATGTATTCTGAAGAAGCTGATCCAACTGCATCCCATCTCCTTTTCTGATTTCTGTGTCTCCTACCACATTGTGAAGATAATGTGTGTCTGCAATTGACACGGGCAGTGGTCTCTTGCAAAAAAACTCATAGTGCGGAAGTAATTTGAAGTGACTTATAAGATCTACAGCACCCGTTAATTCCCTTGGTCCTAAAAGTCCAAATAAGACAACATGTTTTCAATCAGAAAGTATTAAATTAGAATAAAAAATATAACACACAAATTCCTGTCAACTGCACCCTTGTCTCCCAAATGTTAACATGTGCTTAAAAACATAAATATTCCTTTGACAAATCCCCATGCACAAACATTAACGCAGAACTCATCATAGCTGGCACTTGGCACCATATATGTAATCTAATAACAATATTGATTGACTACTAGTGATAATCCCCTGATCAGGAACATGGAATGGATAATAAAAAAGCAGTGTTATTGATACTGTTATAGTTAGAATGACAGAAGGAGGCTCTAATCTACCCTCAGAATGTTTGACAAAGGATACTTATGGACAGAGTTTAAATTATTATATGGAGAAACAAACTGTCAAACTTCAATTCAAAATATCAAGTAGTTTCAATTGGGCGATGGGTCATGGTGTCATACAGATAGATAAACAGAAGTTATAGTATAAAAACAAGTAAGAAAATACATGGAAAATAGATTATATGAAAAACTTTTACCTCCTCCAAACTTTTTGCCTTCAGGATCCATGTGTCAATCTTTGACAGATTGGCAGATCATTATCAGCTGCAATTCATAATGAAACAAACGTTCCCGTCCATCAATATTCAATGATGTTCCATTGTAAAACATGAAAATGAATGAGAAAATGGTCAAGTAGTTGCTCAGAGAGTAATCCTATTCATGGGAATCGGTTGGGTTTTTTTAATCTAAGATCAAGAGCCACTATGACAACTCCACATGGATGCACTCCCTGCTCCCTGTCCTTACCAGCCCCTATCTCACCTATCCCTGCCCTCAATCCCCTAAATGAGAGAGAAGTTATCCTCATCCCCTATCCCCAAATTTCAAATCATATTCTCTAAATTTGTAGACCTGATTACTGTAATCAAAATGTGAATCCACAAAATTGCACCTTCACTTCCACATCAATGATTACTAAGAGGGTTTAGCTAACAATTTTTGTAAGATACAAAATAGAAATAGCTCATATTACGTGTAACAAATAAATAAAAAATAACACTATCACTACATCTTCACAAAGTAAAAAGGTAAAGTGAAGAATGTCCGATTGAGTAACCACTTAGACGTTTCCACAAAAGCATGACGCAGTCCTTTTGAAATTCAGACATCCTTTGCCAAAACATCTAAGAAGGACATACTATTGCTCAAACATAGCAGCAGCAGTGGAGTCTTCAATCAACTTCTTGGCAGTGACATGGAGATTTAGCTTTCTAGGATTCTTCTATGATGCATAGAGTGAGAAAAGAAAGAACGGAACCAAACAAACGGAGGGATAGTCTAAAATAAATTATGAGCATAAGAATAGAGGGGCAGCATTTAAAAGAAACGGTTAACCCAATTGTTGGAAATGGAAAATCACTGAACGGATTGTTTGAATTATGCAGCGAATAGGGAAAGATCCCTGGATGTAAGTACCAAATGTGATGGTTCCTGCAGCAATTTTTAAAATGGGAATTTTGGCCATTCCTAATCATGAGACAGTTTCCATGTTAGGGCTGGCATTTCAGGTTTTAAAAAAATGTTAGGCCTGACACCATCCTTCTTACTATGAAAGCATGCAATTTCGCGCTTAAACTGAGACCATTTATATAACTAGCATGTTTCTCTAGTCTACTGACTTGAGAATTTTCTATCACGATGTGTAATTATAAAAGAGATAGAGAAGAACAAAGAAGAACTGTAAAGCAATTATAATTGATATGACCAAAACTTATTTGCAGAACAGCATTCAAACTACCATGTCTATATGCTTCAGCTGTAAAGGAGCGAAGGAAGCGGAAAAGAAATGGCTTAGACAAAAACTTCAGAATTTCCTGTAAAGACATGCTTGAATAAATAACGAGTAGCTGATATCCCCAAAAAGATAATCCTTTTCCGATACCATGCAAATGGATGAACTTAAAGAACAGATGCTTTTTAAGCAGCACATTCATTTCACTCAAACTCATGTTCCCCCCTTCTTTCACGAGACAAGAACAAAACTAAATTACTAAAGCAAATTAAACACCATCATAAACCTTCTGAATGTTATATTCTTGCGAAAATGTCAGTAATAGCTTGAGACCAGGTAGCAATTATCTCCTGATTCAATCTTCCCCAACTTTCGATTTAAAGTTCATTCATATCCAGAACATTAAGTTTTAAAGATCTTTAAGAAAGTGCGAGCATGGTCTCCAAAATCTCCACCGCACACCCTAAAAACACAAACTTCATCCAAGGTCTCGACTGAACAATTCCATAATGGAATGTGCTTACACACTAAGTTATATTACTGCAGAAGTTTTGCCAGGGAAGACATCCACCTGAAGAGTGAAATTTTCGGTGTTTTTTACCAAACAAGGAGCACCCTTAAAATTCGCAACTTTCAGATGTTTTCAGGCTCTCCACAAAAGCTGTCGAATTTCAAAACTTTTCCGCTAGAATTCGCAGAAAGAATCCTCGAAATTTCGAAGCCAGAAGAAGCTTCTCAAAAAAAAAAAAAAGGAAGAAGAACGACCCAAAAAATCGTCGAGTGGCAAAGAAATTGGGAAGAAGAACTGTAGATCCAAGAAAATAACAAAGAGATTAACAATTTGAAGGCTTACAGGAGCATATAAAGACACGATCTTGTGCTCCAAGTCCAGTTTCCCCGCGAAATCAAACTATCGCTAGTAGTGTTGCGACAGCACAACCCAATTCATGAAAAATTCCTCCTGCTTCCAACTTCTTCGATGCCAATTGCGGCTTCTTGCCACCTCTTATTTATATTTCCACCCGACCATCTTTTTTTGTTTTTCCTTTTCACCCCTTTTGGAATTATGGTCCCATCCTATTGGGTACGGTCATTCGCAAACATAGCCAGCGATACTAAAGAGCAATGCTGCCAGAGTAAAATACTACAATGATTCATATTTTAATATCGTTAGTCAGTAAATTACAATTACAAATAATAACAACAACGATTCATATTTTAATATCGTTGGTCAGTAAATTACAAATAATAACAACAACAACCTAATCTTTTTCAAAAAATAATGAATTTTTTAGTTTTTTTTTAACATAAGTTTTAGCCCTATAATTTTAACATATATCCTTATAGTGTTTTTTTCATTACCACATATCTCTCTAATTTATTCAGCTTATAACATTAGTTTCTTTCTTTTTGAATATGTCCATAAAGATAATGAAATAACTCTAATGGTATTAAATATGTTGAATTGTGGCTAACGTCATTAATATGTGCTGGGATGTAATTATGATTCTAAGCAAACTAATAGCGTTCTTAGTAAATTAATTCTGTTTTATGTTCTAAGTTTCAGTCAGTTAAATCATAATTCCATCTCAAAACAAAAATTAACAACATTAATTATAGATAAGTATATTTAGCATCCTTAGTGCCACTTCATTATTCTTTTAGACATATTAAAAAAATAAAAGACCTAACACTATAGACAAGATAAATTAAAAGGACTTGAAACAATGAAAAAAAAAATTATAGAAACTTATATCAAAACATATTAAAACTATAAAAACTAATAATTATGTTTTTTCTTATTTTTAAATTTCTCCAAGGTATCCTCCGTGCAAGTGCGAGCTTTAAGAGTTTGACATCTATCAACAAGTACTTTTCCATACACACACAACTTAAGAGTTAAACCTTGATGGTTGGTGGTCCTTCAAGTTTATTTTAATTATTAATATAGTATCTAAAGTTGCATGACAATATATAATTAGTTTTTATGATGTTATTTTCCCTCCAAATCAAAGGGACTAATGGTATATAATTTTAAAAATTTAAAGACTTAAATTATAAAAATTAAATTTTAGGAACCAAATCAATAACTGATGCAAATTTAATGGATCAAGAATTTCATTATCTTATTTTTTAATATGATTATTCGGATATATAACCTTAATGAGTAAAATACAATATTATCAAGTCTAATTAATTGTATCCTTTCAAAGATATTTTTTAAATTCACACAAACTTAGATTTGAAATTTCGTACTGGTCACAACTCCTTCAACGAAGATCAACCCATGTTAGTCTATTATGTATAATTTGTTTATCTGTGCTCCATCCTTTAAAGTCATTATGGATTATGGATTCACCCCATTAACATATCCGATGGTACGTGCAAAAATAGAATCAAACAAGAGGGTGACGAATCAAAAATTCTTCCACTCGTATTTATGATTCCTACTCATCAAAAATAGCAATGTGGACATTTTGGCTGCTACATAGGGGCCTACTTGGAATCAGACAAGTACCTGGTGGGACAACATGATGAGATTTTAGCCAAGAAAGTTAGAGTGTGGCATTAAGAAAATATTTATCTTAGGTTTTGATAAGGATTGTTTATAGGTACAACTTGATTTGACTTTACTCAGAACCAAATTAAATCAAACTAATTAGTTCAGACAAAATTAGGACTTGACTGGTTTCAAAAAAAATTACTATAATATCCTTATCCTTAATTTAAGTATGGTAAAATTTTACTCAGGAACCATTAAAAAAAAGAAAAAAAAATTCAATGTATAATAGAGGCTGAATGTCCATTAAGTAAGGGTTGTGGAGTTCACCTAGTATATTACGTAGAAATGAATTAGGGGCAAAAATATTTATAAAATAATATACCTTAGTGTAATTTTGCCCATCAATCCTGAAAATAATACAAAAATTCTCAATCCATAACAAAGGTATATGTTCTCAAATATTGATCGTCAATATAAAAAATACTGATATTTTATTTGACTCATAGTGAAGACATGAAAATGTGTGTTTAAATTTATTCTAATCAACAGAAATTAACTCTAGGCATAAGCATACTTCAATTCAAAACCCATACTGAAGCTTCACCGACTCTTCCCTTTCTCTTCTTTTCGCAATCCAAGTTAGTTCAAAACATTTTCCCTCCCTTCCAGGCCATGGAGTGTGATAACATAAAATATTATACTTAAGTTTTGTGATAGTTAGGATAAATTCAAGCACATGTATTTTTTTTTCATTTACAATTTAAGTTAAATAAAATTTCAATTATTTTGACATTTACTGTCAATATTTGCCAACATATGACTTAATTTGTTTTAGATTGAGAATATTTTTACACTATTTTTTAGGTTTTATGAGCAAAATTGCACCATAGTATGATATATTTTGGGTATTTTTGTCCCTAACGCATTTACATATTACATAGTAAGTGCAACCAACAATCCTCCGTTTATGAATTGGGAATTTTGCATCGTTTTTTATGAATTCATGAATAAAATTGCACCACACTGCTATTAGCTCCTTGCAAAAAAATTTTGAGTAGACTTGCACCTTCATTGGAGATTAAATGATGTTAAAATGAATTTTGTTGGTATTTATAGTAGGGTTAAAGGGCAAAAATATTCAAAAACTTGTTCATTTGGAGCATCTAATATTCTTAAGTCAATAAAAATGTAGGAGTACTTATTAACTCTTTTTAATGAGAGCATTCTTCTTTGAACCATTAAAATGGCTTAACATTTATTAATATGCACTGGAGATGCTGGGTTAAGGAGCAAATATATCAAGAAACTTTTTTCTAGGAGTTTGGTATCCTTAAGTAAAAAATGTTGCAAGATACTTTTGCACCTAAAAAAAGGTTCCTTTTTCTTGGTATTTTTGCATCTTAAAAAAAGTTTTTGAATATTTTTACATTTTATGTTTGTGTTTTTTTTTAAACAATCAACTTTAATGAACATCAAGTAAATTTAATGAGATGGGAAAAGATGCCTTTACCAAGAGATCATGAGTATTGATGTATTATTATTGATTTAAAGATACTGGATGCTTGTAGTAAAAAAGTATTTAAGTATTTTACCCTTTAATTCTTTACAGTGTTAATGATTTTTTCTTCTTTTAATTTTTACTTTTTATAATTAATGTAGGCAACAAGTTCACATTTGATTACTACCTTAGGAGTGTTTGCAATGCGCATATGATTACATTATCTCCTTCTTCTTCTTTTTTAATATTTTAACAACTCTTTTTCTGATTGTAAGGTTTGTTTTTCGTAATCTTTCTTATCTTTTCTTGGACAAAAATAATTTTAAAAACATTCTTTCTTTTTTAATATTCATTATTTTAATTCCATGCGTGCTATCGTGCTTGAGTCAAGTGCATATAATCAAATGGTCGAGATCTCAAGTGGATTGGCTTAAGAACATTATATAAAGTATTAGTGGGCTGACTATCAATTATTAAAAATTAAATGTTATTTTTATCCCTCAACTTTATTTAAAAAATCACTAAAAATTTTAAACTCAACCATATATCAATTCTGTCTCTTAACTTTACAGATTTCATTTTTTATCATCTTATCTTCTTCTCACCATTAGTTGATCGTTAGTGGACTCTATATTATATTTTCTTTAATTTTTTATCATAAAATATTTGAATTATGGGTGCTCACTAATCATTCAAATAAAAGTTAAGAAGCATAAATAACTCTTGACCAAATAAAAAATATTCAAAAAGTAGTGGGACCCATTGATAACTAATGGAAGTTGAATGTTTTTAACAGTATGATTTAGAGAAATCTTTAATATTAAAAGACAAAATTAACCTATAGTTAAGTTTAAAATTTCTAATGACTCTTTAAATAAAGTTAAAAGGCAAAAATAACTTTTAACTTAATTATTAAATTGGGCTTGGAAGGTGGAAGTTAAACAACGATTTCAAAACCAAATTTGAATCAAACTAGTCGATTTTGCTAAAAAAAAAAAACCTTAATTAAAATCAATTTTGTTTGATTCATGTTAGATTTGGTTTGGTTCAATCTAGTGCAATCGGTTAAACCGATTTTAAATACCCTTAGTTTTGAAAAAAAAATAAATTTTAAAAATATACTATAAATATTTTTTTTCTAAATATAAGTTGTGAGGCACAATAATCACTTTAATTGATTGGGAAAAAAACATAATGTTATTATTACATGGGATCACACTGTAGTTTTATCAGTTTAAAACTCAAATTAGATAGAACAAATCAATGATCAATAAGCTCAATGAGTTCAAAGGTTTGAATTGTTTGAGGGTTCAAACCCTGTTGAAGAAGAAAGAAATGAAAGAAAGAAGAGAGTAACTAATATGGTTCAAGATTTTTTAACTCCTCAATGCATCTTTTTATAAATAAGTTCGGTTAAAGGGTATACTTTGAAAGTTTTTCACTTAGTACAATATTACCTATAAGTTTTAAAAATAGTACAATGTTGCTGTAAAGTAATATTTGACTAACATTGATTGTCATTATGAGAATTAAAAAGTAATTTTGCTCCAAGAGTTTGTTTGAAGGAGTAAGTAGTCCTAAAATTTTTTATTGACATAGTGTTTTTGAGTTATTGGCTTCATACTAGAAGAATGATCCAAAAACCTTTTATAACCCAAAACAAAAAAAGATTTTACATTGAGTTATGCTAAACCCCTTTAAATTGAAATATAAACTAATCTATATTGCTAATAGGTTGGTCTCAACAAGTCTATATTTGCTCGTGGTTAAACCTGTGCAAATCAAGACTTTCTCAAGGACACATTTTTGGACTTGCTCAATGAAAAAAAATGAGTGCAACTCCAAACTTTGCTCAAGGAAAGTCCATGACATGCTCGAATTAGAGTTGGATTTATACCCAAACAATCTCATGTAAAGTCTCTTGTCAAATTCCGAAATTATGAAATATTTTTTAACATTGATAATAGGTTGTTTTAATTTTCTTTTGATTTAAACATTAATAACCTAAAAACATTGTGCTAACAAAAGTTTAAGATATTAATTACTCATTTAGAAAAAATTTCAAGACAAAATTACCCTTTAACCCTAGTCAAAATTTTTAGCTGATAGTTAGTGCTAGTTAAACGTTATTATAGGATAAAATTATGCTATTTTTTTAAATTTTAGAATTAATATCACGCCAATAAAAAATTAAAGATATCTATTATACCTGACAAAAAAAAAATTTAAAGCAAATTTTCCATTTTGTCCTTTAGCCCTAAATAACTTTCTTAAGCAACAAAAAAATTTGATAGGTTCAATAAATAGTTAAAGCTAAATTACACTCCTCCCTTTAGTCCCCATAAGTTCATTATTATAATTATATTTTAATTTTAGTATTGTTTTATTATTATATCTGAATTATAAAATCTTTATTATTGTTGAATTTTAAATAACAATTCCTTATTTATATTTGTATCTATATTCATAATTATAAAATATATTAATTTAACAAAGACAGGAGTGATTATGATTCAATCACTATTTAATTATTAAACTTTAAAGTAGTACTTTAATTCAATACTATAGAGATTTACTTAGAACTTGTATGAATAGGGAGCAAATGAATAATTGTCCCCTAATCAATTCGAAGGATTCTTTGTAGGAACAAGAAAGCAATGGTGATGAGAAGTTTTTCAAGCTACATGTTAATGGCTCCTTACAAAGCGATGGTAGTAGTGTTTGTGGTGAAAATTTATGTGATAAGAGCAATAATTGGATTTGTCGTTTTAGCTCCAAAATTAATCCTTATTCCTACCATTATGGTTGAGTTGATTGGATTCATTAGGGAGGGCGAACATATGTTAGCAGAGGGGTATTTACAAGGTTAATTTTTTTTATTGTCTTGAAGCCATTGACCATATTATTAGAGGATATGATATCAATTATCCTTTTAGGGACATTGTCATTGTCGAGGAAGCTGTTGCAGTAATATTGTGTATGTGTCTCAAAAGAAGAAACCCTACATTGCCCATATAAAGAAAGCTCCTAGTGTATGAATATTAAGGAATGAAACGGGTTTGGATAAGAAGTGGGCTCATGCACACAAAATAGGCCAACTCAATGTAATCGCAATTGAAACAGCCAATTCGACTCCTGCGTTTGAGTTAAACAGGCATTGGGTTCCTTTTATCAAATTATTTTTACAAAAAAATAAATAATTATTTATTTAAATGAACTTATCAGAAAACCTTGTTTTTTGGCTGATTGAAATTTGAATTTGAGCCTCAACCGTTCCTAGCTTTTAAGCAAAGTCTTAAATGGATTTATTAATCAAATTTCATTACTGTTTTGTTACCCTAACAGCTCAATGCTTAATGGAAATAAAATGCTTATATTGAGGATTAGTGATGCTTAATTCGATGATATTGTTCCAACGTTTGTCCAGGATTTTGACCTATATATAGGCATGCATGCAGACAAAACAAGGTGCCAGGCTCTCGAGTGTTCGAGCCACTTCTTTCCTCCTCTTCCTTGACTGTCCTGTGTTCATCTACCTGAGTTCTTTTCTTGTTTAGTGCTTGTTGTTTTGTTACCTTGCTTGTGCATGACGTGCTTGTTTAATTCTGAGGAATTGTCGGTCTATCATACTAGTATGCCAGAGTAATTTTTAAGGACAGTGTCATTTGACACAACTCAAACAGCTTTCACTTTCCTATCTGCCGCTAACAGAAGCCCCCTCTTTCTTATATAGGTACAGTCTAATTATTTTGAAACATGTTTTTAGGGATCATAAGTTGATTATTTAATTAGGTAGTCCTATGGAAGGGAATTTTCGCCTCTTTGATCATCATCTCATAGATGTAGAAGAGGAAAATGGAGGAAGAGGATAGGTAGTCTGTTCGGTTGACTCTGTGTTGGACTTTGTTTCGTTGTTATTAATGTATTTTAGTTTCTATTAAAAAAAAATGCTCGATTTGATTTTTGAAAACGTTTCTTTCTGCACTGTTTGGGCATCGTTTGAAACTCCTTTAAAATTTAGGCCACAACGCACCAGTCTTGAAATTCTCTAAACATTATCGGCTTATGGGGTCCAATTACCAATTTAATTCCTCAATTAAAATACAACAACAACAACAACAACAAGCCTTTATCCCACTAGGTGGGGTCGGCTACATGGATTGCAAGACGCCATTGTGCTCTATCATTTATTAAGCTCCTCAATTAAAATAATTTCTTAAAAATTTAAATTGAAGAGTAGTTGAAATATACATCTAATTCTTTAATTTTATATAATATTTTAATTTAATTTTTTAATTTTATAGAATATTTGTTTACTTTTCTAACTCTAAAATCGTTAGTTTAAAATAATTATTATTTTAAAAAATAAAACTTAATATGTCAAATATTTTTTTCAATATTTAAATATTAGATAAATGAGTAAATTATTTTTAAACTTTAAAGCTAATAACACCAATAAATTTTGAGCTTATTTATTTTATAAATTATTTTCTTAATTTTTAAAAATAGTGAAACTCAGCCCCTATTATTAATAAATTTAATTCTAACAACTATTTGACAAAAAAAAAATAAAAGGGACCACAAAAATTATCAAAAAAATAAAAAAATAATAATAAAGAACCCTAAATTATATAAAAGAATTTTAAAAATTATATAAAAGGATAAAAAAATTTGGGCAATCTCTATAAATTTTTAGATTACTTTTCGATCAGCTAACTTTTAAAATTAATTTTTATTTACAGCAAAGTCATATTATACATTTTTAAAAAGTTAAGAAAATAATTTATACAATAAATAAATTTAAGCTTGATGTTATAATTTGTTAATTTATTCTTAAATGTTCAATCTACAAAGTTAAAGCACTAAATAAAAATAAAAAATTACACCAAGATCTTTTATAAGGATTTTAATTATTTAGAAATCTTATAAAATGTATAAAATATTTTTACATCTCAATTTTTTTATAATTACAATTTAATAAAGATAAACAATAACTTGATAAAGAAAAATAATAGTTAAAGTATGAGTTTAATGTCAAATTTTTATTTTTTTATTATATTATAATTGTACAGGATTTGTAATTTGACAATAATTTATACATTTTATAAGACTTTGAAATAATTGAAATCCTTATACCGTCTTCTTAGTAATTTTCTCTGAATAAAATTTAATAAAGAAAATCAAATAAAGCTACACACGTGTTGCTTCTAGATCTTGCCAGCACTGTCTTTCCTTGCCAGTGCGGGCGTTCCCTTGGCCATCTCTCGCCGGCACTGTCACTGGACTCGCTCTCTACGGGATTGACGTCGTTGTTGCGCAACCGATAGTGGAAGTAGAAACTGTGGTTTTGAAGCCACTGCTATTGGTAGGTTCGACCTTTGCCTGCTCCAATGGCGGCCGTCGATCAATTCGGCAACATGCATGACGTTGCACTTAAACCCAGTTTGCTTCGCACCCTTCTCCAAGATCACGTTCCTGATGAGCATCGCCCATTTTCGAACTCCTCCGAGCTTTCGAAGATTGAGTATATGATCAAAACTCACAGTCTTCTGTCCGAGTCCTTCACCGAATTCATGGCCCCAAAACAAGTTGAAAGCTGGAAATCTGCTGTTGATTCCTGGGTCGACCGCATTTTGACCCTCGTTGCGAACAATATGGTATGTAACCTTATACTCTACTGTCGTAAATACTGATGGCAAATGTAATATAAGGTGGCGCATCGTTGGTATTTACTTATATAGTTGATTAAGTAAGTTAATGATTGGTTTTTATCAGTCGGTGTTAGTTTGTACCTGAAGCATTTCTTTTTTCATTATAAAGTTTTGTTTTCTTTTGTAGCCAGATAAATGTTGGGCAGGAATCTCATTGCTGGGAATTACTTGTCAAGAGTGCAGCTCTAGCCGTTTCCTGACATCCTACTCTGTGTGGTTCCAGAAATTGCGTCCGTTTTTACTGGTGCTGCACTGTTTTTCATGAACGCGGCTTCTTTTCCTGCAATCTTTATTGAATATTTCTTCCTTTGGAATATTTAAGGCAATGGCTTTGTATTTGCTGCTGGTTTGGGAAATAGATAATGTAGACCTGAGCATCATCACCTTGTTGCTTTATCTTTGATACTTAATTGCTCGTGTCAACGGAATTGAAAAATTCACAAATAATACACAAGCCTACTTTTCTGGATTGAGAAGAATGTATATGGATCTCTTCAGTGTCTATGTGTGGCCTCATGCTCTGGTAGGGTTAGTACCTGAAGTTGTCACCTTGATAAGAGTATATTTTAACTAATAAAGTTGTAATCCTATAGATCTACAAAAGCTGTGGCACTCAAACGTGCTGAGGTACTGATACAATCAAGTCAACGTCTTTCGTCTGTTACTTAGAAGGTTGGGAGAATTATGTTGAAGTTGCACACAAGAGAATTAATTACTATAAAATTCATTAACAACCGAATTAAGGAATTAATTCACAACACAAGGAAATTAATTCCTTAGTTCGGTTGTTAATGGATCTTGTAGTAATTAATTCTTTTATATAAGATCTGTATTTAATTCTGCCTAAAAAGTTTAATTGGCAACAATCCAACAACCGGGTGAGATGTGGCCTCTTTATCATATCATATATCTTCTATAACTTAATTTAAGACCTCTTTAAGTTATATAACTGAACTGCTTAGGTCACCTGTTGGGGATCAGAATTGTGGGAAAATATCTAGAGATAAATGTGGAAGTTATCCTGGGATTTTTGGGAATTTTTTTAGGAAGTTGTATAACTAATTGTGAATATTTGAGGGATAGATGCTCAAATAATTATAGCATTAATTATGAGGATTCAGTTTGTGGGTTGTCAAAAAAAAAAAAAAAAAAGAAAGATTTGTTGGGTAGGAGTATAATTAGTATAATTGTGGAAAGATTCTTCTACCTTTTTTGGTAGACAGGTCTGTGTATGTAATAGCCCCTTCCATGTATCAGTTGAAGTAACATTTATGCACTTTTATCACATGGTATTAGTGCCTGAGAATAACTTAGCTCATTGTTCCTTCCTTTGAATCATTGTTTAAGTGAGCCTTGATTGGCACTGTATTATTGTCCAATTTTTTCTTGTTGCTGTTGGAATTTTCCTCCACTGCCGTCTGAGTCGACTTTCATTTATGCCCTCTGTTTTCTTAGTTGTCTCTGAATCCATCCTTTTTCATCAGGAGGGCGTTCATTTCATCCTTAATTTCTGATTTCTCCTTGCACTCAATTCTGGTTTGAAAAACACCTTCAACATGTATGGGAGTTTGTCTGATTGCCTTAATTGCTTACAATCAACCTGAATTCGTAATTTTTTTTCTCTTGGTTCTGAAACGGGGAGTTTGGTATTGACATATGTCCATTAGTCGCTTATGTGTACCCAGTCCTAATGTTCCAGTGTCATCATGGTTGTTTTCCGTTCAATAGTTACATTGATGTCACTTTAACTTCTAATTCCACAGTTTGTGAAGGTTCTACTGTGGTGTCTTGTAGTGCCACCAAAGAGCAGTTATTGGAAGTCAAACTGAAGACCTTCCAAAATTGGATGGCCAAGAGTTCAGTTTCAATTCTGTATGACACAACGAAATCAGGAAAAAATCCAATAGGGATTTAACAAAGAAGAAGTCGAGAGCTTAGAAGCATGTTGGAAATCCTTGAGATTCCTATCGGTAATACGTGTGATATTGTAGTTGTGATCTGGCTCAATTAGTCAAATCTTATAGTTCCCATGGATTTGATATGTCAGATATGCTTTAAGTTCTTGGGTCATTGTCCTACGAGCCACTTACCATGTGATCTGCTTTTCTCACCATTTAAATATATATGCTCCATGTAGTGGCGAGAAAAACCAAACCGAAACCCAAGACCAAACCGAACCATATTTAATTTGGTCTGTTCGTTTCAGTTTATTTGGTTTTTGGTTCGGTTCTGATTATTTTTTATGTGTATTTTGGTTTATTTTGATTTGGTTTTTTAGACAATGAACCTAAAATAATTGAACTGAACTGACACGCACACACACAGCTGCTGTTTAAATCATGTGCTAGTGTTAGACTAAGTTAGTAATCTGGTAAAATAAAAAGGCCAAGTTAGTAACAGGCCCATAGTATATTCCTAAACCCATCTCAATATCTCTGAAATCCTAAAGCCTAAAAAAAACAAAAAATGAAGAAGACTAAGTAACATAGGGCCTCCATGTCTGAGCAACAAGAAAATTTATGTTGATAATGGATCTCTTGCCATTGTTGCAAGGCTTGCAGATATCCAAATTATTCCCTTATTAGTTCCTAGAAATGTTCTCCATGTTCCTAAGTTGTCTGCCAATCTTATTCCTATACAGAAACTTAACAAAGACATGAACTGTACCATGATTTTTATCCTCCCCATTGTGCCTTTTAGGACCAGGCTTGCTAAGGAAAACGATGGGCCGTACCATGTTGATGTATCAAGAAATATCCTTTATATATTATTGAAGGAGACAGGTATGCTTGGGTGCAAACCAGCTGAAACTTCTATGTAATCCATTTATAAGTGTAGATCTAAAGGAAGAAATTCCCCCTCTAGATAGACACAAGGAAATATTAGAGGCTAGTTGGGAAATTGATCTACTCCTCCCTCTCCAATACTCAATTTGTCAGAGAATCATTCATTCATTTCATTTCCGGATTTCAGACAAGTGTCCATTGATTTTAATACAGTGTGATATTTCTGGTTGATGCATTTTATAATCACTAATAAGCTGAGCTGATTCTTGCCTTAAGATGGTCTAGAGTTAAAGTTGTCTCCTTTCCTACAATGAGAAATTCCATGCTTATATAGTATGTGCTGTGTGAATAGGATTGAAAATGTCAACATAATTTATCTGATCCGATGCTTTTTTCTGTTTTCATCTAGCATTAGGATGTTAGCTGTTTCATCTTTTAGTTTACGCATGTGTATAAGCCCAAACACCGCTTGCTTCCATGCATTTTTTAAGGTCAAGATCTAAATATTTTAAACAGATCTTGTGATTTTTTATTGTGTGACGTGTGCTGTATGTTTTTTTAATTAAAGCAGTCACAAGAAAATCTCATTTTGTGAGGGTGGCTTCTTGTGCTTCAATATCTGATATTTTTGCAAGGTTAGATATTTCTTCTCCTACTCAAAGAAATTTGTTCTTAATTGCTTGCTAAATTTTGGAATCATATATGGTATTTTGTGTCCCCCCCCCCCCCGTTTTTTTAACAGAATAGATTTTGTAATTCTGTGGTTAGTGGGTAAGGTAAAATAAAGCCATGATTTATTGTTATCTGAAAAATATTTCCTTTTTCTTGCTGATGGTCTAAATCAGTTAGTACAACCATCCCTCATCGACTTGTGTCAAACAAGTACTTTTTTCCCCGAGGCTTTCAAGAGTGTCTGCCTAAAACAGTGATAGAATTATCAATGTATGTTGCTTAATTTTGCAATCGTTTTAAGAGATCAAACTGGGAGTTCAGTGGCTCCTCATTTGAAATAAGTGGAAGCTGCCTCTAATTATTTTCTTTTCAAGGTTAGGCTGAGTGCATTTCCTGATATTAAGAGAGATTGGTCTTCCTGTGCGGGGAAAGTCATTCAGCCAGTCTTGGACCTGTTGAATGATGACAACTCAGAGGCTATCTGGGTAAGTAGCATAACTTTGAAGATTATGGAACACTATATCTTTTTCAAATAATTGAATGAGAAATCCTAGAATTTTGTAGTAATGATTGAGAAATTCTTGTTTTGAAGTGGGTTTGTTCTTAGATTAGTCTTGGGCTTCTAAACGGAGGTAGAAGTATGACTTCTTCTCTTGCTCACACTCGCACACACACACCCCCCCCCCCCCCAACAAAAGAAACAACAACAAGAAGCATTATTCCATTAAGTGAGGTCAGTTATGAGGATCACAAAATGCCAATGTGTTCTATCAAAAACACACACAAACAAAAAAGAAAGTTTTGGTAATTGTCAAAAGATGATTTGCTCTTACAACTTGGAAGCTGAGGAAGTTAAATGCCTACCGCATGCCCCATGGTTACTAAATGATGACCACCTTTGAACATAAATACTTACCTTGTCGCCCATGTTCTTTATGCTTGATTTTGTTTCAGTTTGTACATATCTTCTTTGTTTTCCATTTCTGAGATTAATTTATTATCTGACTTGTGTTGCATGCAGGAGGGTGCGCTTCATTTGTTATGTACCATATTAACTTCTTTCCATTTTCTATTCAACGTCACTATGACAGTGTATGTTCCTCTTCCCATTGCAACGTTTCTTCCATGATTAATTCGTTTTATGCTATTTAAAGTTTGAAATAATAGAGAATATGGTTTGTGGGTTTATTTTCTAATCAGGACTTAGTTCTTGGACAAGCTTTACTAATTTCTTATGTAAAGAATTCTTTTTAACAAAGAATTCTAACCAAAACAACTTTTGTTTGATAAGATAATCCTAATACCAATATCTCACTCCAAAAGTTTGATAATTGCAAGATTTCATCGGAATTGATGATTCTTTGAACAGAAAAGGCGTACATATGAAGGTAGGGAGAAAGACTCCTGATTCATCCCCCTGACTTAGCTAGTTTAAAATTTAAAATTTAAAATAAAGTATAATTACGATAAATGATGACCAAGAGACAACAAGAAACAGAAAAGGAAGATAAATCGTGAATGCATACGACAACAACAACAATGGTGATTAGGTCAAGTAGAAATGATTATATCCCTTAAAAAAACCTTATGAATGGAGAAAATCACATCAAAAGAGCTACTCCTATTTAGACCTGATAGTGCTCGGATCTGGATTAGTTGATAGCATCAGATGCCATATGGTTGTCATTAAGAAAAAGAATAACAATATACCTGGAGTGGAGTAGGCATGTGATCTTTGATTTCCCGCTTAAGCTGGATGGTTGATGGTTAACATTCCTAGTTGCAAATAAACCCTTCCAACATGACCCAAGGCAATGTCTTGTTCTGGGTCTCAAGGCATCAACAACTTGATTCAGGCTGGATGTGTAAGTTAGTTCAAGAATGTGCACATCAAGTTTTTCCTTAATGAAGTGCCGATCAATTTAAATGCCTTTTGTTCTATTATGAAGCACATGATATTTTTGCAATACCAACTAATTGTAGAGATATTACCACAAAATATCTTCATGGTTTCAGTCATAGGAATTCTGAACTTCTCCACAAGTCTTTTTAAACCAACTATTCCTCAAATTTCTTTGCCATTACAGTGGCTTTGGTTTCTCTGGTTTGACATCAGCACTGATGCCCTTTAATATCTTGGTGGATTATGATTGACAACTGGCATGTGGGAACCACTATGCCTGCCTCTAAGACTTGTGGAAACTAACAAACAAGAGAAAGAACACAGTGCTGAAAGTTTCAGTTCAAAGTTCATCTAAGCTGCATCTTCAGTTAAGGCTTGGCTCTGAATTGCTTTCAAGGACTGGGTTTGAAGGCGATTGTTCTGCTTTTGACATCACAATCACCAAATCCATAGCCTTCAAATATCTTTGGTTTGAATTGTCACTATGAATTCCCCGTAAAATCTTCTTATGTCTGGACAGGATTTTGTAGGATCATGCTTAGTTGGTACTCTGTTTGCTATCGTTCTCATTATTAGCATTCCATGAACTTTGGCAAGAAAATCCTATGCAGAACGACTTCACATTCTCAAACCCTTCATTTTTTTTTTCTTTATCTTTTCTGTCATTGCTTGAATTTCTTTTGTTGGATTCCATTCTTTTCTTGGATACTAGACTTAACTTCAGGTGACTTCTCTACTTGAACAAACATGATCAGAGGATTTCCTCTTCTTGATTGTTTGTGGGCAGAGTATCTTGATTGAGGGGGGTCGTGTGTCTTTGAAGCTTCACTTCTAGTCTCTGAAATTTTTGCTGCGACTTTCTTCCAATTGATCCTAATGGTGGAGGTGAAAATAGTTAGTTTTTATATAATATAATATTGTACAGAAAAATTGGATTTTAAATAAGATTACAATATTTTAGTCAACAATAATAGGATTATAATTTGTTTTGGAAATCTTGAAACTGGTAAGCCATCTTTTATAGTCAATGGGATACTCACCATGCAAAGCAATCTGGACTAAACAAAAAGAAATAGAAATATGCACTATAAAGGAACAAAATTAAAATGCTTCACTTACAACACAGAAACATGAAAATGTTGCTGGGAAGCAAAGCAACGATGGAAGGTCTCAGCTACAATTAAGGGCCCTTCATCATTGCTTAGTGACTGATGACTCAACCACCTGTTACTATGTCTTCCAGTCATGCTTCTTTCCATCAATGTCTTGAGGAACCTACCTAGATTTTGAATATTGGCGGACTGATTGCCTTTATGTTGTTGGCTTGAGGATTGGCTAATGAACAAACTGTTTGTCCCATTAAGAAAATTGAATTGTTTTGGACACGCTAGCATGCTTATGTGTTGAGAGTGCCACACTCTCCCTTATGACTTACTTTGTTTTTTTGTATCTGGTTGATTGTGTATCTAGTGGTATCCAGCTTAAGCTTATCGCTAGATTCTCAGTCCTGATTTGCTTGAGAGAATCTAAGGCATCTCGGTCTTCTACAGCTGATGGACTTCTATAGATATAACCTAGTTGCTGGTTGAGAATGAGATGAACCAAAAGAATTATTCCCAAGGGCTCTCTCTGGTTTTTTCGCTCACAAATCTACACTAGGCCTTCATTCACTATTTGCTTGTATTAGAATTTTGTGACCAAGTTCACGGTCTCTCTGTCTATGTGCCCTACTTGGTAGATAAATGTAGGCATGCTATGTTTGCACGTTGGAAGTCCTTATTTATATAGATTTCTTTTGTACTTCATTTGACATAACACCTAGTGAAGCATGATTGTTCATCAATCCATTGCCAAAATTTCATGAACTGATTAGTATTATGAATTTATGCAGGTTGAATCTGCCATTGCTTCAAAACTTTTCTCAGGAGGATGTAGTCATAATATGTTGAAGGTAGTGAGCTTTCTTTTTCATGGTTGTTTCACACCAGAACCTGAATCTGGACTTCTTACTCTACCTGGCTCGGCATTCACAATTCTTTTACTCTAGGAGGCGGGCATAAGTTGGTGAAAGTAGACTAACTGTTAGAGAAGCGGAACTCCAGCATAAGAAATTTCATAGCAGGAAACACGCCCCTCCAGTCTCCACCGATCACAATACCATAAATGAATGGCAAGCCTTCATGAAATATAAGATGAAACAAGCAGAAATTACGGTCCTGTCTGGTTATGTTCTAATTTTTTTTTGTTTTAAAATCTATTTTGTGAAATAGTTTTTAGAACTGTTTTTCAAAACAAAACAAAATGAAAACTGTTTGATTATGTGAATTTAAAAACAGTTTTAGTTTTAAAAACCGACTAATAATGATGGTTGTTGGCAGCTAATAGTTGGTGAATTATGATTAATTAGGCTTGTTGTTATTTATGAAGTAATTAGTCAAGCTAACTATAATTTTCAATAATAAAATGTGGTGGATTTTGAAACAAGAAAAATAAAACAAAAAACAACTTTGAGATGTTTTTATTTTTATTGTATTTTTTTAAAAAGAGAACAGGTTGGGAAACAACTAAATAAAAAACTTAACCAAAGGGTTTTCTAATTTTTTGGTTTTAAAATCAGAAAACAACCAGGCTCTAGGTGGCTGGATTTTTCTTTCTTTTCTTTCTTTTTTCGTGTTTTTGGCTTTGTGAACACCAAGGTTAGGATTCAAGATGGGCGTTACCTTTTCTCTGGTTCTGTGCAATTTTGCAGCTGAATTATAGATAGTGAATGAGAATGCTTAATCATTTGACAACTGCCGTGATAGTCACCTTCCCTTTATGTGTATACTTAACAAGATAATTATGAAAACAAAGGTAATCCCTCAAAGGGATGACATATATCTGAACTTAATGGTGAAGAACAACTGCATACCTGCTAGATAATAATAAACTCCGAACTTATGCATATAGGATAAGTGATAACTTTTGAACAATATCTTTAATCCTCTAACACTTCATCTTTAATGCTTACCCTTCAACGATTGATATGCCTTCAACAATAATATTTGGGTTAGTATTAGTTTCAAGTGAGATTTTGATGGCTTTAGGAATTTCATTAATTGAAACATATTCGGTAGTTAGGCAGTTTTTTCAATTTTCTTTTTTATTTTTTAAAAAAAGCCATACCATTGGATTCTCTTTGTCTAAAGAACTTTATTCTCTTTTAGGAGAATTATAAGTAATCAAGTGATCTTATTCTCTTTGTTCTAAAGAGCTATGCTTGGTGTTATTCATCCAGAAACTTGCTTATTGCCTAGCATTACTTCCCAAAGTGAGAGGAGACGCAGAAAGCTGGTCTGTTTTGATGCAGAAAATTGTGGTGGTAATAAATGGTCAAATAAACAATGCCTTTCAAGGTCTAGAAGAAGGTTGATGCTAATTTTATCTATTTTGTGGGTACCAATATTAAGAGCAGTAGATGATCATCGTCTTGAATGTGTAGCAGAAACCAAGCAGAATGAGATTATTAGGTTGTTAAGTCTGCCAGGAAAAAATTCTCCACCACGTTTAGGATGCTGTGCATTGGATGGGAGAAGCTACTAACAAGGCAACAAAGAGGTCTGAACAATCACTGCTGCCTATTGTCTCTCCTCTTATGCTTTGCTGTTGCAATATGCTTACAGATTCATATTCTTCTAAGGTACTTTTAAATTCATCCGAAAGAACAAACAAGGACCCAATTATGTTCCAGCAACTGTTAGTAATGTTAATTATAATTCTTCTAGTAGAAGTTTGATGAAAATCGATGTGATTTTATTGCCAGGTTAATGTACCTGTTCGCCTGTTATTGGCTCTTGTTGAAAGAGTACTGATGGTGAATGGCTCCTTGCTACAAACGTCATTGCCATTAATGACTGCTAGGCAACAAGAGAATGTTTGTTCAGAACTTCCAGTTTTGCATTTACATTGCTTGGAATTGCTCATTTCTATTGCAAAGGGCATGGGCAGGTATGGCTGCTTTGTATCCTCTGCCTCCAAAGGGAAAAAAAAATAGGCAGTGCTAGTACTAGTGATGCAAATTGTATTTAATAAATGTGATATTAATCTATTATATTCTGTGAGTCTGATCTGAGCATCAGAAATTTTTTAACACCTCTATCTTCCTTTCTTATCCATGTGAGGAAGTTTTATTGAATTGCGATAAGACCAGCCTTGTTATACTGTAGTGAATGCTAGGCTTTAAAAGGACAACAAGAGCATAGAGCTAGAATAGCAGAAATGAGAATGTTGAGATAAATGTGTTGGCATACATGAAAAGATAAAATCCATAATGAGCATATTCAAGAAAAAGTGAGTATGGCATCTATTAAGGGAAAGATAGTAGAAAATTGTTTGAGATGCTTTAGACATATATAGAGAAGGTCGTGGGAGGCATCGGTGAGGAAGGTGGAACACATAGTCTTGAGCTTTTTAAAGAGGGATAGAGGAAGACTAAAGAGAATGCTCATGGAAGTTATTGAATGAGATTTTTTGATCAACAATATTTCCAAAGATTTGGTTGATGATAGAGCATGATTGGGTTGTATAATCCTTGTAGCCGACCTCACCCAGTGAGATAAGACGACTTGTTGTATTCCTTCCTACGGCTCATATCCATTGCTTCTTCTTCATGTTCAAACTATTTCTCATGGCATATTTTACAAAGAATTATCTAGCCCTATGGACATTTCATGTTTTTTTGTATCCTTGTTATGACTGTGTATCAATTCTTCCCATCTAAGACTTATTTTCTCCTACTTTTCTCTAATAGCAGCCTATGTCTGTGGTACATCAATGGTGATTTTAGGTTTCTTGTGTGCTATAAAGTTTTAAAGTATTACATTTTCACTGATGAAGGCGTTTATTATGTTGCTTCTACCATTGAAGAGCAATTCAACTGTTTTAGCTTACAAGGAACTATAACATTGTTACTCATCCTTCCTTTCCTTTATCCTTTGTGCTTTATTTTGTTTCAAGAATGCTGAATTCTACTGATTTGCCATATGTATGTTGCAGTCAACTATTGCCACATGCTGCCTCTATGGTTCGCATTATTACATTGTACTTCAAGACGTGTGCATTTCCAGAATTAAGGATTAAGGTCTATTCAATCACAAGGATTCTGCTCATATCCATGGGTGTTGGTGAGTTAAGTTTCTTATCAAAGATGTCACTGTTCTGACTATTGGTGTTAATTTTGTTTGGAAGACTTGAGGTTATTCAAAATTTGTTCATTTGTTTTTACCTTAAATAACAGATTGGTTAAGAAGTCAAAATCTTGCAATAAACATATAATTAAACAAAAATATGATTATCAACCACTACATCGCAGCCATTAGAGTAATAAAGAACAAAAAAATGAAGGGCATCAAGTTAGCGAGTATCATTTTACTAGTAGTGTAGAGCACAATGGGATGGAGGATAAAGTTGGCATTGCCATTATTTCTGTAGCATGCCTATGTCAACACTACATGTTCGACAATTAGCATAGTTGTGATGCCTATATTCTCAAGTTTTGAGGTTGAAGCATAGCATCCTGCATCTCTTTTTAGTTTTGCAGCATCCTCTGTTCCCTCTAGCACCATCTGCAGCAACTAGCAGCCACTCTTTTGTCATCCTCTCCATAATTGTTTTTTGCCCAAAAACTAGATGCTCGCTTTCTTCACTCTCTGTCCAGCAAAATCTTCTTTCCTTCATTTTTTGCCTGATCCAGATTCCTTACCCCCCCCTTCTCCCTGCCAATCTTCAATATCTCCCATTACTGGCCAGTGCCCATTGGAAATTCCTTTTTGCTTTCGAGATCAGGGTTTACTTGTTATTTCTCACTCCCATCAATCTGCAGTCTTCCTTCATTCTACCAAGTACCCATCATAGCCTTCTCAGTTTCTTATCTAAATTCCAAATATCTTCGACCTTGTGGATCAATTATCAGAACAGAAACTTGGTTTTATGACTTTGGGATGATCATAAATTGCTGTGATTTTTTTGTCAAAAAAAGGGGAAAAAAAATAAATTGCTGTGATTTGTTTTAAATGTGAGTATAATTTTCGTATGTAATAGTCAGTCTATTAGTATATTGCCATAATGAACTATAAAATATTATTTCAGATATTTAATGCGTTAAGCTCTTCATTATCTTAGGTGACACACAAATTTGACATAGCATTTTGAAGCCTTGGTCACTAAAACTACAACATGCACTATCAAAAACTACAGTACAAATCATGCTTCTCTTTTATCAATAAAATGAAAAAAAAAACTGGATTTCAGAGGTTAAAATTTTGGGAGTGAGAAATAACAAGTAAAATCTGATCTCGAAAGCAAAAAAGAATTTCCAATGGGCATTGGCCAGTAATGGGAGATATTGAAGATTGGTAGGGAGAAGGGGGTAAGGAATCTGGATCAGGCAAAAAATGAAGGAAAGAAGATTTTGCTTGATAGAGAGTGAAGAAAGCGAGCATCTAGTTTTTGGGCAAAAAAATAATTATGGAGAGGATGACAAAAGAGTGGTTGCTAGTTGCTGCAGATGGTGCCAGAGGGAACAGAGGGTGCTGCAAAACTAAAAAGAGATGCAGGATGCTATGCTTCAACCTCAAAACTTGAGAATATAGGCATCACAACTTGCTAATCGTCGAACATGTAGTGTTGACATAGGCATGCTACAGAAATAATGGCAATGCCAACTTTATCCTCCATCCCATTGTGCTCTACACTATTAGTAAAATGATACTCGCTAACTTGATGCCCTTCATTTTTTTTTGTTCTTTATTACTCTAATGGCTGTGATGTAGTGGTTGATAATCTTATTTTTGTTTAGTTATATGTTTATTGCAAGATTTTGACTTCTTAACCAATCAATGGCAGCCAAATTCAAAGTTATCCCTTAGTCTTCCCTTGCAATGAGGTCAATGGATTGAGGAAAATTATATAGTCAGAATAATTGATTTTTCTGCATCACATTTACTGATTAACTTGTGCAATGGCGAGACTGAGGTTTGTTATGCTAATCTTGAAGAATTTTTGTTATGCTAAATGGTTTACTAATAAATATTCTTGAACAGGAATGGCTTTATGTCTTGCCCAAGAAGTTATCAACAATGCGATTATTGATTTGATTGCCCTTGGGAATAAGAGTGGGGGCACATTAAATGGCTCAAATTCAAATGCTTTTACTGGACCTTTGGTACAGCCAAGTCATAGAAAAAGGAAGTGTAGTAGTACAACTGCCACTCTTTGGAAGCAAAATGAAGGTTTGAGAGTGGAAGCCCCCAATAATACTTTAATGAATCCAATTTCTCTGAGAATAGCTGCACTCGAGGCTTTAGAGGCTCTTATCACTGTGGTATGTATATTCTGTCCTATGGGAATACTATTGTTCCCTCATTGATCTCTTCCTTCCTTAATTGGCTTTTCTAGGTCAAGTATGCAAATATATATATATATATTAATCTTGATAGCAGTGTTGGGATACCATGACATTGCTATCATTTTTGCTACTTTTTGGAAATTCTTTTTAATCAATGGTACTTGTATTTGTCCATGGTCTTCAATCTTTTAAAATTGTCTAGTAACAAATATGTGATCTCCAATGAACAAGTAATGCCTTTAGGAGCCTGGTCAGGCAAGATTATGGTTTTTAAATCATTTAATCTCTGTACGACACCTTCTCTAATCAATCTTAATTTTTTCTTTTGGCGACATAATCTAATCAGTCTTTTGTAGTCTTTCTCTGGTATTTATTTCTGTTAGACCTATTTAAACTGGCATGATTTTTGTAATTTAGCACCATAATTGGGCATTTTGAAATCCACTTTTAGCCAGTCATAAGTTAAACAAAATCAAATAACAAAAAACGAAAATGAGAGGAAGATTATTCTTGTCATGAGTTAAAATATCCAAGTGATTGTTGAAGATGAAAATGAGAGGAAGATTGTTCTTGGATGGAATGAATGCATGAAAGTTTCATAATCTTTTATCAGGCAGGTTCCTTGAAATCTGAACAATGGAGGTCAAAAGTAGATAATCTTTTGATAGTCATAGCTGTGGACTCTTTTAAGGAAGGGTGGGTCCGTGAGGAAGTGGCTATGTCACAGAAAACGTTGCCTTCTGCAACTTTTGCTGATTTGCAGCTAGCTGCACTGCGTGCTCTTTTGGCATCATTTCTTTCCATTTCCCGAGCGCCACCTCCATATTTAGCCCAGGGTCTTGAACTTTTCCATAGGGGTAATGTGATCATCAATTTGCAGGTTCTTTTATTCTTATTGCTATTATTCCTAGTATAGTAGTAAATTGGTGAATTTTGTCTCTGAAGATGAACTATTAAAGATAATTATTATTGTCAGTATTTGTAGCTGCCTTATGTGAAATTTTGGAGTATTGTTGGAAAGAACCAGTTTTACATCTAATAAAATGGGGAAACAAGCAGGGAGTAATGTATATTAGATTGTGTACTGCTTTCCTTCAATGGCTGCTTGATTCAGGATTAGGTTATTGCTGAGTTGATTGAAATTTTGAAGCTTTTCTTCTTGTCTCCTTTTTGCTTCTTCACCTTATTATAGTATAGCTAGCATTTCAAATTGTCAAGGATCAGTTTAACTGAAAATATAAGTTGTTAAGTAAAGACACGTGACTAGTTTTGTTTTAAACTTGGACACCTCACCTCTCTTACAAGAGGTTCCTTGGGTTTGAAACATGGATAAAATATAGTCTCATCATCATCATCATACCTTGGTTTGAAAATCTATTTTAATTGAGGGAAAGTTAGATGGCAACAGTCGAATTTTAGACCCCTTGGCTATAGAAGCTATGATAATATGTTAAGGACCAATTGAACTCAAGCTCGATCAATTATAAGGTTCATGAGTAGTCTCATTGCAATCTCTACAAAAACCTACCTCATAGGCAAGCTTACCAAAATTTCTTTTATATTATTCTCTCTATTGCTTGGTCTATTATTTTTGCAGGAAAGCAACAAAGTGGAACAAAGCTTGCTGAGTTCTGCGCGCATGCTCTTTTGGCCTTGGACGTGCTCTTACATCCTAAGGCGGTTTCATTGGCAGACTACTACGAAAATCACAAAAAATCTCTTGATAAGTCTCACTGTAAGTTCCAAGATGATGTAACTGATGGCCTGAAAAATAGAACCCCATTTTCCCCATTTGGCTTTCAGCCTGAGCAACATGATGCTCCTAAATCCAACGATGATCTATGTGATGAATGGCTGGAAAACGAAGAACCTGGCACACCATTGGCCGGAGACATAGAACCCAGTGAAGACCCATCTAAAGTTGTCAAATATTATGATAACCCAAAATTGCTTTCTGTGCACCATTCTTCTGTAACCAGGACGCAGGACATGAGTGAGCATGTGCCTGAGGCAACTTGCTCAGGTGTTGAAATGAGTGTTGTTGGGAATGAAATGAACGTTATGCAATTTCAGGAATCCACTTGGTCAAGTTTTTCTGTGGCTGAAGCTACTTGTGGTTCTGTGGCCACTCAAATCGTGGATGAGAGGATTGTTTCAGACAGTTCTATGACTCATCATGCAGGCTTTCAAATAGATTCTGGCCAAGGAGCCTCAATCCATGGAGGTGTTGAATTAGCTTCCTTCAGTAATAGCTTATTGCTAGCAGCATATACTGATAAGAACAAAGAATTTGCATTTGAATTTGATATTGGAGATGCAGCTGCTGAAGATTTTTTTTCCTGACGTCGTTGCTTCAAACCCTGATTCTTGTTCTGATTGAGTCTGGATCCAGTGTCTGATCACCGCATTTTGTGATTTACTTTTATCCAAAGAAGCATCAGAGAGTAACAGTGCAGTTTAATGTGATTTGTTTTATTATTATTATTATTATTATTATTATTTATTTATTTATTTTTTTCCTTAAGGAATGTACATGGGCATTTTATGTTCTACGTGAGCTATCCATATTTTTTGTTCTGTTTGCTTTGCTTTGCTTATTTGAGATAACACCCGGGAAAACATGGTAAATCCGTCACCAATTTTTCTTGATTTAGTAAATGTATATGGTTTATCAAAGTTGAATCTGCTATTTTATTTCAAAACTAAGTTGAGAGGATGTTGTCATCAGTGGGTAAGTTAGAAATGGACTCTGAAATGAATTCACCCCATGCATTTGTATAAGTTATACAAAAATTTTAAAAAGTTCACATAATTTGAGAAGTTAGGTGAACAGTAATTCATAATGAATCAACGGTGACACATTGTTTTTAGGGCGAATGACAATAAAGTTTCAAAATAGAAAATTGAAAACGGTTGAATTTTTGACAATTTTTTAGAAAGTTATAAATATTAATTTAGATAATTGTAAATTTAAGAGTTTTAATTATATGTAAGATATTTATATTCTAAATATATTTCACAGTTTTCAATGAAATTTTTATTTATAATTGTTTGAATCAATATGTGTAACTTATATTTTTTAGAAAATTTCATTGAGAATCCAACTATTATAAATTTATTATTTCAGAATTTTACTGTCATTCTATTGTATTTTTATCATATGTACCTAGTTACAACTATATTTGCATGGGAATCTCCGGGGCAGATAAATGAACGAGTCTTGACACACACAAGCAAGGTACCCACATGCATTTGCGCGTGCACAAAATTGAAATGTTGACATATGTTATTAAAAATATCTTTTTACATGTTATGTATCATAAATTGTGGAGTCAAATCTTGCTATATGATGATTTTGTTAGTGGATGATTTGTAAATACCTCTTAAGCATTCTTTAAGTTTAGAGATATCATTTGACTCTAGTATAGCAGGCTCCTGGTATTCAATTTATCTTTTTTTTTTTTTTGAATTAGAGTTCAATTGCATAGGTCATAATACTTTGTAAATATGTGGGCGCGACTATTAACAAAAAGTTCAATTTCATATTTTACTAGAGAGGGAAAAATTAGATAACGAAATCTTTTTAAGCAAAGAATTTAAGAGACATTACCACCTTGCTATAAATTCCACCAGAATAAATCCACCAGTCTAGTATTTAATACCACAATATTTGCCATGAAGTTTAAAAAACAAAAAAACTACATATGGATGTGTGTGAGGGAGATTTAATATAAATGTTAAAATTAAAAATACTTAAAAAAATATTTTCAACATCCCATTCACATTTTCTAAATAAGTTAGGAAAATAACATTTAAGGATCCTTAAAAACATTAATTACAGTTAAGGAAATGAAATTTTGAAATTTTAAAAAAAGACTATAGACTGTGGTTGAAATTAATCTTTTTAAGTGTATTTTCTTCAGTATATATCTTTGATATTTTCAATATTTAGCTTCCAAATTTTAGTACTTGTATTCCACATTTTCAATACTTATCTTGAGCATTTTCAATACTCATTCCTTCAGTTTTTTTCAATAGTCATCTTAGATGTTTTCAATAAGTATCTTCCATATTTTTAACAATTATCTTTAATTTTTTAATACTGAAAATGTGGAAGATAAATATTAAAAACATCTAAAATAACTATTTAAAAAGTGAAAAATTGAGTACTGAAAATAAAGATGTGAATGATAAAAATATGAAATATAAGTCCTAAAATAATTAACTCAAATTTAAATTCCACTATGATCCTTATATGAAATTTTTAAATGTTATTTTTCCGATAAGTCATTGTCAATTTACACTGCACATATAATGTGTTTGTCTGTGTATATGAGATGCAAATATGTATGATATGGTATGTCTCATTTTTACTTGAATTAATATTGATAACGTAATAATTGACGAGAAGGTTGGTGAACTTTTTTAGGGCGATTAATTCCATCTATTTTAAAATAATTGTCAAACAAGAATTAAAATCATCGTTAATATATATCAAAGCCAGTCAACAATTATTCAACATTCCATTTAAATTTACCAAAGTTATTATTATTGAGGAATGGCATTATTAAAATATCAAAAAGATTGAATTAAATTTAAATAAGGATTAAAAAAAATTTGAAAATCTCAAATAGGGCCCAATTCTAAGACTTAAAGTTTGGTAATAATTCCAAGACTTAAAGTTAATATTGTTGAGTAATGACATTATCAAAGTAAATATTTTAAAAAATAACTGTTTGGGCTGAAAAACCGAGAATACTAAGGCCCAATTCCAAGAAACTCTGCAACAAGCCCATTCCACTATCACCTAAATGTTGGCCCTTTCGCGGAGTTAATGAAACGTAGCGTTCCAATGAAGTAGTGACCAGGTCCAAAAGCCATCTCCCATTACTCGCAAAATTCAAAGCACTTACCCTAGCACGTTCCCTTAATGAGGTGCACCAATAACATGTAAATAGGTGTGAATCGTTAACACTCTGTTAGGTAAGCAAATTTTGAATTTAAAGAAAAGCGTCATTGCCTACTTGTATGGAAGGCAATGAGCGTATAACTAGAGATCCTCTTTAATACTCTTCCTAGCTCAATTACATTAATTAAACTCAACTAACCTTGTGTCAATCTTGAACTCATCTAGCGCAACCCTTTACTCCTAGTCTAGACCTTTTAGGCTTATTACTTTGCTTTTCCCTCATATCATCGGAGCACCCTTATTGTAATTACTCCCAAATAATGAAGTATCATTATTGCTTGCATGGTTGTGCCCTTTGAACTCTAATTCGCTTTGACACTCTAAGAAAATTGTAGTCAAAAACCTTGAAAACTCACAATTGTTTGATCACCAACTCTTTCAAGGATATAGGTCTTTTGGCATACTTGGCACACTCTAATAAGGAGCATAACATTTCAAATTGCTTTTTGGTAGCAACAAGTTTTGGCATACCTAATGGGACCTACTTATTGAAGCAATGTTAAGGAACACTCATTTTAAATATTTTGATGAAGACAACATTAGACCTTAAGGTTTAGAAGGCGATGCTACAAGCATAGTATGTAAAGCTCCTATTTCAAATGCAAGGGATGAAAGGGAGACATGATTCCCAAAACTCAATACTTTAAGCCACTCAAAGTTAGATGAGCCTTTGTCTAACTTGCTGCTAAGCCATTTGTTGCAAGGAGAATTTCTGATCAAGGCTTGAGGATCCTTTAAAAAAACTTAGAGTGGTAAGCTGAGCAAATCAAGAAGACCTTCGAGAACTTCACGAGATGCTATGAACTGGACAACAAGAAAAGAGCTGATGAGGAAGCGATGTTCCATGCTTAGTAAATGTAGAAGGCACAGAAGAAAGATAAAATCTGCACTACCAAAGCATGTGAGTAAGATTTTGCCAGCAACAAGAGAAACAAGAACATAAGAGGCACTTTGAATTATGCTAAGTGATGGTCGAGACTAAGTAGTCTTTGACCAATTAGTTTACAATCCACAAAGCGATCCATATAGAAACAACAAAAACCCCTCAACAGGCTACTTTAGAGAAGAGTCCCACATGTGTGGGTATGAGGGGTCACCCTTTAACACTAAAGATTCGATTGGGCTGCAGCTAGAGACCGACAAATGTTACACTCCACCTTGTAACATCCTAAAATTTTAATCCTGAATTTGTAGATTAATTAGGGTAAATTAGTAAAATGATAAATTGATTAAGTTAATTGTATTTTTGAATTACTAATAGACTTATTGAGTCATTGGATAGCTTTGGAGTCAGACTAGGATGGTAATTAACTAACCGAGCCTGAGTGAAAGCCTTAAATCGTGATTTGTGAATTTAAGTTGTTCGCCGTGGCTAAAGGGGAAAATTTTGTTACATTAGACTTATGTTCAGGCTAGCAAAAAGAGAAGGGAAGGAAGAAAGAACAGAAGAGAAATAGCAAAAGAGATAAATGTCTGCTAGGGTATAAAGTTTTGAGTACTTAGGAGTTAGTTTAGACCTTTAATCTTTTGGAGCTTCATATCTCCCTCCCCTTTCATCCTACACATTTTTTTTTGGGTTTTGTGGAATAGAGATGTGATTTTTTTTATTAAGGGGGAATGTTGGGTTTGAACCAATGCCATTAGGAGTTAATTTAGGTTTCTATACTTGAGGTTGGTGATTTTATGATGTTTTAGAATTGGGTTTTAGGATGGGGATGAACATTTAGAGTTTTGCGGACCATTAATTGGTATCATTAAACTTAATAGGAGTTAAATAAAACTAATAAAAGATTATTAGGGCTTTGATTATGCCAATGATAGAAGTTAAGGACTTGGGTTAGCTTATTTGAGCTAAAAGTGACTATGTTAGAAATAAAAAATGGTAAATGGTGTTTTAATATATAGATTATTGTTGCTTGAGTACTCTTTGAGCAAGTGGAATCTAATTAAGGGAATTAAATTTTATGAGCAACCCTTTTAGTAACAAAAGGATTGAGGTAATTGGATAATCTACTTTGCTTACCTATATATTAGATTGTTTACGAGTGTTTGTGACATGTATGGTAGTGCGCACACACACGTTTATGTGTGAGTTTAATTTTAGAAACCTTTGTGAAGTGAGAAAATGGTTTTAGAAGAACAAAAGTATATTTATAAGTTTGTGAACTTTGTTTCTATAACTGATAAGTTGATCATGAGTTATTACGTGATAAAAAATATGTATGCATGTATGTGTATGATGTCACATGGCATGATCATGTAAGAGGGTGGGAGTTCACTCTAGGTAGGGTAGTATAAATCTATATAGCAGTCACTGATACCATGATTAGCCCTGGCGATCATATTATACATTTCTTTTTATTATAAATTTGTTTTTATCCTATATCACCATAAGTGGTGTGCAGTAGGTAGGCATATAACACCTTGAATATTCATAAAGGGAAAATTTACGGTCCAAAAATGGTTGGTAGCACCTTGGCTAGGCTATCTCCTGTAATTTGTGAGCCTGGGTCAATCTCCTTACATAAACTTGGTCTAGTCGTGTTGTTATCTCAAATATTTAGTCAAACATTGAGGAGGTTCAGACGAAAATAATTGATCATGCATGTCTTA